ATCCTCAAACCGCCAATTCCGTGGAGCGATGAAAAGCAGTATAAGTGTGGAAGGATACTTGGATTTGGCCGATTAGGTGCAGTTTATGAGTGCAAAAATTTAGCAAATCCAACCGAAAAACTTGCCATGAAAATTTATTGCAATAAGGATATGCTACGATTCGTTAATGAAGTTTCACATATTAACAAACTTCAGAACTGTCCCAATGTCATTAAACTATTTGGTATTCTTGAACAATGTCAGGTAGGTGACATGGAGGAATAGTCACAAAGCCTTTTAAAAGTTAGGAGGACCATGCATTATTCTAGATCATTTCATCAATACAAGCTATCGAGAATTCGCCAACAATCCTACTGCTGACGAAATTCCAATTTACATGCGTCAGTTGATGAACGCTATTTGCGCTTGCCACGAAATGAAGCTAATCCATCGTGATATAAGACCTGACACTGTTCTAATTGATAGAAACCAAAGGCTACTGCGACTGACAGACTTTGGAAAGTCTGTAATCTACGTACCTGAAGAGCCATATTCAATTGATCACAACGAGATCTACTATGAGGCACCAGAACTACTTTTAGAAAATGTGGTATATCAGTTTCTATATCATAGGTAATATTCTTGTTTTCTTTTCAGAAATATGACTTTTCAGTCGATATGTGGGCATTTGGATGCCTGTTTGCCGCTCTTGTGTTGAGAGACAACCTCTTGTTTTACGAAGTTACAGTGACCGATAAATTACTAAGAATTATCGATTTTCTGGGTATTGAAGGCTTGAAAGCATATGCAAGCAGAAGACAATTGAGTCTACCTCCGTATATTGAAGAGTTTGCCAAAATGCATCCAAGAATTTCCTTCGTCAGTTTAGTTAAGCCCGAAAACGCAGAATATGTCAATCTTTGGGCAATTGATTTGATCGAAAGAATATTGACGTATGACCCTGTAGATCGATTTACTGCTGAAAAGGCTTTACTCCATTGCTATTTCCAGAAAACAAATAGCGCAGGGCAGTGATCAATAAAATAAAGTAAAGTCGGGTCTTATTCAAATTTTATTATAATGAATTAAAAACTACGCTTACGCCTGTCAATTAGAAATAACGTTTGGTGAATGTGATGACCTTAGTTAGGTATAAAATCAATAGTTAGGCAGCAAGGAGATAGAGAGCAGTTAGAGGAAAGTAATTGGTAAATTTTACCAATTGCATGGAACTAGCAAAAGGTCTGCAAAGTTCAGCGTGTCTCCAGCACAATAAAAACGTATTCACTAAATTGAAATAAAGAATATGTTAATGAATTCAAGGACATTATTTCATATTTAATTATGATATAGAACTCTTTAATCAATGCCATAAATTAACAAAGTTACCACTATGGATAATAAGTTGCGCATTACCTTTTAAATAATAATGCATGCGTCAATACTACTCATTAAGGTGTGCATTAATGGAATTAATTAATCACTGGAATTCTGTGTTCAAGACTTCAGGGAGTTGGAAAAAAAGATTTTTATTCACTCAGAGTACTAATGTGTTTATTTTATGGATTTACAGAGCAGAGTGGTATAAAAGACTTAGAATTGAATGAGGCAGATTACTGAATTTAATTTTATGGAGAATTTCAATGGAAATTAAGCCATTTTATCGGTTTTCGTCACATCGAAGTAATAAGTTAATGCTATGCCTCCACAATTTGACAAGAAATGATACAAATTTCGAGATTTTTACAGATAAATTTACTACGACGTCATTTAAATTAATTAATATTAATTAATATTTCGTTGCAATCTGTAGGACACGTTATCGCTGTGTGCGTCATCGTATGCCTGCATGTCTGCAGAGGTGCGGCCGTACAACTCTGTGTTTAGGGACCGTACAAACAATGACCAATCATCAACCTCTGTTTAACCTAATCCCATACAAACAGTGACCAATCATTAACCTCTGTTTGTTTAACACTAGCCTCTGTTTGTTTGACCTAATCCGCCATCCTGATCATGATCGAACCGGCGACCTGGGAGGTGCGACCGTACAAACAGTGACCAATCATTAACCTCTGTTTATGACCGTACAAACAGTGGCCAATCATTAACCTCTGTTTAACGCGATCGTACAAACAGTGACCAATCATTAACCTCTGTTTAACCTAATCCCTCATCCATCTGACCAATCATCAACCTCTGTTTAACCTAATCCCCCCATCCTTCGCCGTACAACTCTGTGTGCAGCGACCGTACAAACAGTGACCACTAGCCTCTGTTTGTTTGACCTAATCCGCCATCCTGATCATGATTGACCGTACAAACAGTGGCCAATCATTAACCTCTGTTTAACGCGATCGTACAAACAGTGACCAATCATTAACCTCTGTTTAACCTAATCCCCCATCCGTGATCAATCATCAACCTCTGTTTAACCTAATCCCCCATCCTGATCTGAGGTGAATAGCTAACACACTTGATCCTCAATATACGTCCTGAATAAACGTGCTCCGTACTACACATCTGTTTCCTTTATAGCTGGGCTATTGCTTAGCTAGTTGTGGGAGTCTAGCTAGATGTAGGAGAATCTGCCATAGAGATTTCGGTCAGGCTTTACTAGCGTAGCAATCCGCTACAATGCAATGCAGTCAGGCTTTAATAAAATAGCAATCCGCTACAAATCTACTTTCCATGGTTTTCAAACAAAGTGTGATAAATATGTCAAACATTCCTATGGTTTGGGAAAAATAGATAAGTTGAAAGAAATAATATTACATTTTTTTAGCATGCTTGCTTTGTTGACAATAGGTTTTAATTCTCATAGTGTTTTCAACTCCCTTTTTCTATCTCTCTCTTAAAAAGAGAATGCAATAAAATCTTCACTAAAATTGAGTTGACTTCATATTTAAAAAATACGCTGAGAAGGTGAAATCACGCAACCTAATGCATGCTAGCCTGCTAATATATTGTGTGGGATCCCTTTAATTCAATGCTCATAACTATTCCATTTGAATTTATGCACCAACGCACTTATAAATTTACTTCTTTCGAATCGCACTTTGCAACGGTAAAGATCTCATGTGGGTTGATTTTTGAGATCAGAAGGTGTTCTTATTTATCTTAGTTCAGTGAATTGCCCCAGAATATTTATTTATAACGAATGGAAGGCTTTATGATAGTTATCATTAGTCCACTAGTTAGTTAACTTCGGGTATCACTGAGAGGAGGAATAACAGAGTCACAAAAAGTGGAGGTGGGGGGGTGGGGGGTTAACAGAATAGCGATATAAAGATGTAATAGAGACAGACACAAAGGTTTTACTTATATCAAATGGCAGGTGTCTTGACGGTTATCATTAGCCTTTTAGTTCACTTCAGGCTTCACAGAAGGGAAGGAACATCAAATTAAAAAAAATCGAGAGGGGGGAACAGAAGGGTGTTTCAAAGATGTAAGAGGCAAACACAAAGATAGAAAAAAGGTGAGGTGAGTACGGTGAATAGTCGAATATGGGGTAGAGTGAAGTGATGGTAGTTTGAAGTGCGAAGTCAACTGCCAGTTAATAGACTTTTTGCCGTATGAGTAAGTGCGAAGTCAACTGCCAGTTAATAGACTTTTTGCCGTATGAGTATAACTTGTCCAAAGTGCACCGCGTGGAGGAAAGTCTATCGCACACCCCACAGACACAAAGGTAGAGAGTTGAGTAAGGTGAGTACTGTGGAAGTGGTGGAATATGACATAGAATCGGGTCAAGGTAGTTTGACGTCAACTGTCGGTTTAGTGACTTTTGAAGTATGAGCATACATACACCACGTGGTGTTAAGTCTCTAGCATACCCCTGCCCTGAATATAACTTTTTAAATTCAAATTTTTAAACTTGGACTATTCTGTTATAGAGTGACTTCAAGATGGCCATATTGATTGTTTCATTAAATTTGAACCACGATCTCATCATTGTAGAGCCGTTTTTTTCTAATGTCTGAAGACGGCACAAGATAAAATTTTACACATGTGGGCTTTATATCGTATCTACTTTCTGTAAATATTTGAAAGCTCATTATATTTATTGCTTTAAAGAAGTTAATAAGCTTATGAATATAAGTTTTGAGCAAATTGCTGTGTTACACCACTACAAAACGTGGGCGTAATTAGCAAACAGCAATTAAAATCAATCGAGGCCCTCTTTTCATATAAAGCAAACATCTTACTACCATCAATTAAGAAATGTAAAGAATGCAAAATTCTTTAAAATCGTTTTAAAAACGTTTGAAAATTTGTTGGAAGCCAAGTGTGATTATTGATTAAGTGGTCTTTTACCTGGCGCCTAATCGATCTAATATATATTTATTTATTTATCTATATCAAATGGCAGGCGTTCTGATAGTTATCATTAGCCCAGCT